CTCAAAAATAGGTTTTACCACTTACCAAAGAGAAGAGTGTAACTCGATTTCCAGCCAAAAGGACCAAGATTTTCTCTTGTGATCTTGAAGAACAACAGGTTAGATAATGTTATAAGGGACTTATACTTCAGGTGAGACGAATTTCCTAAGAGGAGGTGTCAAAATATAGTAAGACAAGAGGTGCTTATCATATACACAGCTGTCCATAAAAGTTGGCTGCCCCAATACTTTTGTGCTGCCCAAATGCATACATATACACCTATATATATATATATATCCTTCACCTCCTTTTAAGGCAATAGATATTTCTAATTAAAACATTATGCAAATACCCCCATACAATACATTAAATTACGATGACAATTATTTTAAGCAAGGTTGCAAATATAACATTATTTCAAGTTCCCAAAATGAGAATTAAACATATTGTAATAATTGAGAAGTGGTTTATCGACATGCGACTCTTGTTAGCATTTGGAGCGTTACAACTCTCTCCCCCTTAAAGAAATTTCATCTCAAAATTTACCTTACACTAGTCCTGGAACAAGTGCGGATACTGGGTTCTCGTGTTTTCTTCTCTTTCCCACGTAGCTTCTTTTCCAGAATTGTTCCTCCAAAGTACCTTTACTAAGGGAATTCTCTTGTTTCTAAGTTTCTTTACTTCTCGAGCTTGAATTAGAATAGGTTCTTCATTAAACGTCAAGTCAATATTAACCTCAATAGATTCGACTGGAAGAACATGAGATGGATTGGAACAATATCTTCTAAGCATAGAAACATGGAAGACATTGTGGATCTTGTCTAACTCAGGTGGCAAAGCCAATTTATATGCAACTGGTCCAACCCTTTCAACTATCTCATAAGGTTCAATAAATCGGGGACTAAGCTTTCCTTTCTGGCCAAATCTCATAATCTTTTTCCATTGGAGACACCTTTAAGAATACTTTATCTCAAACTTGATATTCAATGTCACGCCTTTTAAGATCAACGTACGACTTTTGTCTATCCGAAGAAATCTTTAAACGATCTTTGATAATTTTTACCTTGTCCTCTGTTTGTTGCACAATTTTAGGACCAACAAGTTTTCTTTCACCAACTTCACTCCAACAAAGAGGGGTCCGGCATTTTCTTCCGGATAAGGCTTCATAGGGAGGCATTCCAATACTCGATTAGTAACTGTTATTGTAAGAAAATTCAATCAAAGCCAAGTGTTTGTCCCAACTACCCTCAAACTCCATAATGCAAGCTTGAAGCATATCCTCCAAAATTTGTATCACTCTTTCCGACTGGCCGTCTGTTTGAGGATGATTAACAGAAGGCTTATGAACTCAGCCTTCAGTTTTAAAGGAAGGAGCATTACTAGGATTAGGACAATCTTTCACTTTATGATCAAAGCTCCCACAATTGAAACATGCACCAGAAGCTCTCCTGCAAGTGCCATAATGATTCTTTCCACATTGTGGACAAGTAGGAATGTGAGGCTTGCCTTGGCCATAATTTGGAGTGCTAGCTGTAGAAACTTCTGATTTGTTTTGCCTTTATTGAGGTGGCCTGTTATCACTACCAGCCTTAGAATTATCAAACCTTCCCCTTTTGGATGGACCCCCAAAATCTGGTCTAGGCTTTCGAAATCTGTTTTCATTTCTACTAGTTTCTTCTTTATCAAGTCGTTCCCAAGTTAGAGCAGCAGACACTAACTTACAAAATTTCTCATGTTGCAGGATCGCCACATTCTTCCTAATGGAATCATTTAAACCGTCTTCAAATTTCCTACACTTGTCTTTTTCCTCTTTAATAATACCACCAACATAGCGAGAGAGCCTTAGAAACTTCTGTTCGTATTCAACAATAGACATGCCTCATTGCCTTAGATTCAAAAACTCCTTTTCTTTGCATCACAATAAGCAGGTGGGACATACTTCATACGAAATTCCTTAACAAAATCATCCCAAGTAAGAACATAAGGTTTTACCTTGGCATTCGGAACACTTACCCACCAATCATAAGCATCCTTTTGTAATAGTGAAATAGCATACTTAAATTTGGCAACATCTGAACACTCCAACTGCTTAAATACCCTTTCCATGCGATCAAGACATTGTTCAGCATCTGTGGGATCAACAGTGCCTTCAAACTCCACTCCACCCATTTTCCTCATTTTCTCAAAGTTAATCCTGTGGGGATCATGCATCGATTCAGCCATATGGTGGAAGAATTCAGCCATTTGTTGAAAATGGGGATTCATGGTTTGAGTACCATGACTCATGTGAGGATGTGGACCAGCTCTTACACCCTGATGGTTTCCCACTTCAGAACCACTAGTGTGGGGAACATACTGATTCGAGATATGTTCTCCGACCCCTTCCAGTGCATGAGGTTGGGAAACAGAGGCACCCAAACCTTCATGAGCAGCTTCCATAGGTCGGTCAGAAGAAGTGGCCATAACTTAATTCCTTCAAAATGGAAGATCACACTGCATTAGGGATATGTACTAGATGCATATGCACTCTACATACGATGCAATTATCATAAACCATATAAGCGAACAAATAATCTAAATAGAACTTTTTTTGAAAGCAAACAACTATATTAGTAATTCACAACAAAAGTCCTAGAACCACAAACCTAGGCTCTGATACCAACACTTGTAGCAATCCTTTCAAAACGATACCAATACTTAAACAAGAAATCTAATTAAATACTTGCGACATTTAAAACCAATTAATGAGGGCATACTAATTTTAATCTAGTAGAGGGATTAGATTCATAACGAACTCCAAAAAAAATATAACATTTAAGCAATTAACCGACCAGATCTTCATGCATATGTTAACCTCACACTCAAGGGTGAAATAACAAGAATATTACAAGCTACCGAGTACCAAAATCAGTCGGCTCATGCTTCACACAACTTTCAAGACATATAGCAAATTAGTATATTACAAGACTTGGGTTTACACACCCCCAAAAAGATAAAAACGTATAACCATACTTATATTACAACCCATGGAGACATGACCAAATCAGCCATCAAAATCTCCTGTAAATATACAGCACAACGATCACGTACAAGTCCCAAGTTTATACAAAATATATATGCCTATATGCAAAAGTGATCTTCCTTAAGGCTTTCAAAATCTCCATCATCAATGGCCAGCTTCAAGTATCATCGCAAATAGCCCCTATGATAGAAACAACTATCGCTAAGCATATAGCTTAGTGGTGTACAAACTATAGGTTTGGAGCCCTTAAATTCACCAAGTTATCATTCTCAAGTCAAGGGCAGCACAATCGAAACAAAATCAGTAAATCAAGTAAACAATATACAAGGAGTATCAAGTTCAATATATAAAAGGTCTAAAATGTCAAGAATGCTCATACCACAACTTTTCAAGAGATTCAATAACAAGGTTCACCCAATATATACATCATGTCGTCACACCAAGCACGAGCAGGTATCAAGAAGGGTCAAAACCCAATAATCAAGAGAACCAAGAACCATATTAAAAAAATGTCTTCCTAGTTCGTACCTAAAATGGACAACTTCCATTCTTAAGAAGAACTAAAAATCCAAAGTCAAGATGGCAAATGATCCAAACCAAGAGGCATGCCAAGAGTGATAAAGGCACAGCCACA